CCTCCACCAAAATTATCTCTTGAGGAGGAGGGGGGGGGGGGAGATTGGCTTGGGTCAGCTAGGCCTGCGTGATGCAGTTCCACTGCAAAACTGACCTCACAGACTCTATCGAGTTTCCCTTTGCCAAATGTTGACTCTGCCAGCCAGAGAGAGCTTTTGTTCTCACCCCGCCCCCTTTAGATCCGGACTTTCTGCCGAAAGGCAGTGAGCAGCTCAGCAGTAAAACTGGTGTGAGGGCAGCAGTGCTGCCAGACTCCCGCTCAAAACGCAGGAGGCAGCGGCAGAGCCTCCAAAATTGTGTGATTGCCCCCAACGCCCATGAGAGGGTTTTGTTTTTAGTCAGTCGTTTGACTTTGTCACTCCCCCTCTATCCCTGAGCCAGCGTACGGGGCAGACGTCCAGGTTGAAAGGGCAACCTGGAAAGACTCAGATGTGTCTCTCGCTGGCTGGTCTGGTGAAGCTCTGAGCTAGGGGAACTGCCAGCCATTCCCATTCCTGGCTTCTTTTCTCTGCCTCTCCCGGCCTGGCACACATGAGCACCACTTCCCTGACTGCCCTTCCTCTGCCCAGCTCCCCAGCACCTCGTCCTCGACTGCTCTCCCCACCTTTGGCTGCCCCGGGCACCTGCTGTTCTCAGGCCACACAGCAAGGCAGGGCCGGGGGCAGGACAGATCCGAGTGCTCTGCCCCGGAGGCTCTTGCACCCAGCGCTGCCCAGGCCTGATCGCAACATCTTCTCCCGTGGGCATCAGACTCCTCTGGCTCGGCTTGGTGCCCCAGAGGCTGCAGCACTGCTTTCCCTGGTGGCGGGGAAGCAGCCACCTGATCCCTCCATCACCCACCCCATCCCTGTCCTCTTGTATCCCCGAGTCTCCTCATTGCCCCCCCCTTGGCTTCTCCCCTGCCCTCCTTCTAGTGCCTGAACCCCCTAAATCTGCCTCCAACCCCCCCTCACTCTTCCAGCCCCCCTGTCACGGGGTCTCTCCGGCTCCAGACTATCCCTGGAGTCCACCGGCCTCTGGCAGCCATTTGGCATGTGGGCATGGCATCAACCTCACTGAAACCAGCAGGAGGCAGCAGCCATCTTTGCTAAGGGCAGGTGCACTCCTTTTGAGGCTAGACGGGGAAATGGCAGCCGTCATGCTGGCAATGGGGGACGATGATCATTTGCTATTTATTTTAAAGAGTTTGTCTGTTTGATCAAGAATGCTTCCTAAACCAGAAGAGCGAGGACCACCAAATTCGGTAGGCAGCTTCCTCTGACCATAACTTAAAGCAGCATAAGGGTTTGGTTGTTCCAGGACAATGGGCTGCTCATAACACCAGACAGAAAAGAGATAGAATCATCCAATCAAGTACGGTTCCCAAAACTGTACGTACCTGAGTGAATGTTGAGACTGAACCAAGATGAGTCCTAAAAATAGGATGAACCTGGCATAGGATTGCTTCTCAATAAACCTTACGGAAAAGAGAGAAACTGGAGACATTTAGGAAACGTTTAGATTACAGGCTTTTGTCGACACAGGCTTTATCGACAGATACTGTTGACAAAACGTCTGTCGACAAAGAGTGTCTAGACTACAGCCCGTTCTGTCAACAAAGCAAGCAGCTTTGTCAACATGAGAGTGTAGACGCAAAGGACAGTGTAGATGCAATAGCGCCTTCTGTCGACAGAACTCTGTTAACAAAAAGCGTTATTCCTCATAGAATGAGGTTTACTGCCGTCGACAAAACTGCCGCGTTCTGTCGACTTCCTGTCAACAGAGCGTGGCGGTAGTGTAGATGCAGGTATAGTTTTGTCGACAAAAGCCCACTTTTGTCAACAAAACCCTGTAGTCTAGACACACCCTTAGAATCGTGCTCTGTTTTGGCATAGATACATCAATGCTTAAGGTTTGAAAACTAGAAGAAAATGTGACTGGAAACCAAATTGACTATAGGCCTTTTTTAAAAAACATAACAAATGATAAGAGTTTATAGGAATGAAAAAAAAATACCCTTGATGGAATTCCCATTTTAAAAAGTTTACTAAAAAAAATTAAATAAATTTTAACAATCCCTTTTTTAAAGAGAAATCTGAAATAAAAATTAACCTTATAAAAATATCACTGTATTTTAAAAAAACCCAATCTTTTAAATAAAGTGAGTTTATTTCCCTTTTACTTTCAAAAGAACCCCAACAACAAATTTGCTAGAACTGAATCTGGGAAGTCCGGCTTCGATCTCCCTTGTCCGCTATCGTTGGGACCTGACTGGGCCTGGAACAAGAGAATTTGCCAGACCAGGGGAGGTCTGCCAGCAGTCCCCAAGCACATGCGGCTGGCAGGCTGCCCCAGCAGGTACTTTGCCTCGACCTCCCCCCCAAACTGGCTGGGCTGCTTGGCCAGCTGCTTCTGGCTCCCTGAGTTTCTGGAGGCTGCAGGGGACTCCAGCCCCAGGCAGCGGGCTACAGGGATTCCAGCCCTGGTCCTGCGCTTCCTGCAGCTGAGACAACCCTGTTTTCCCCAGCCCCCCTTAGAGTCCCAGGTTCTCTAGTCCTGTCAGACCATGGATGTTGCTGGACCAGAGAATGCCGGTTTTTAGAGGTACAACCTGTACTGCGAGTTGGGGCCTTCATTACGTTTACGTGGGTCACGGTAACTCCCCTCCCTCCGCCCCCTGCTGCAGCTCACTAGAGTTGTGATCAGATTGCAGGAGTCACCGTATTGCAGGGATTCTAGGACAGAACTCGGCTCATTTGAGCCCGACTCTCCATTGCCCTGTGTGTGGCAGGATGAATTGCACCAGCCGGCACAGTGAGTGAAAAGCTGCCTCAGACCTTTGCACTGACATAATGGCGACATGAGGTGAACATAAGAACATCAGAGCAGCTAGACTGGGTCAGACCAAAGGTCCATCTAGCCCAGTGGCCTGTCTGCCGACAGTGGCCAATGCCAGGTGCCCCAGAGGGAACGAACAGCTCCAGGATCCCTCCCCTGCCATTCCCAATTCCTGACAGGCTAGGGACGCCGTTCCTACCCATCCTCGCTAATAAGCAGGGCCTGACAAACCGTGGCAAAAGCTGCTTGCCAGCCGCACACTGCGCATGCGCAAGAGCCGCATTTCACATGCGCGCGCCGCCGGTAAACAGGGCGCCGGGCTGAAATTACTCACCACGGGTGAGTAGATTCAATAGCTTGTCAAGCCCTGCTAATAAGTATTGATGGACCTAACCTCTGTGAATTTATCTAGCTCTTTTTTGAATGCTGTTAAAGTCTTGGTCTTCACAACATCTTCTGGCAAGGAGTTCCACAGGTTAACGGTGTGCTGCATGAAGAAAAATGCAGGGCTACAGAGGGTCGGGCCATTGTCATCTGACACCACCTGGGTTTCAGTCCTTTTTTATTTTCTTCCCTGCATCTTAGCAGCACAGCACGAAAGCCTCCCAAACAAGAACTGTTGGTTATTCTTCCTCTAGCACAGCCCTGCTGGGCAGTTAGAGTTACCTGCAACCGTGTTTGTCAT